GCTTTCGATCCATCTTTGGATAAAGTCCAAACTCCATAATTATGGTTAAGTCTCAACATGATCCGGTCTCTGAATACCTCTCTAGTCTCTCTTCTGTGACATTTTGTTATGAAAATTTTTAAACAGACAGCAAAATTGAAAAAAAAAATTTACAGTGTCTATCCATTGATGGATCATCTCAATTTTTCCACGAACATTTCATACTTGCTTTACCATGTATCTAACCATTCAGCCAGCCATCTATTCTAGCATGGATTTTTCCCGGTTTGGGCGCCTTCCAAAGTCAACTGCAGGTTCTGGTCTAATTTTCATCACTCTTCCTCTTGTTCCCTATACTCCAACCACAGGCAGCTTTCTATTCTTCAAATCAGTCAAACTATTTTAAATCTCTGGGCTTTGTACCTATTGTCCCTTCTACCTGAATTGTCCCTTCTACCTGAACAATTAACACTAATTGTTAAGTGAATTAACAATTCACTTCTTGTTAATTCCTGACCGATCCTTTAGTTCTCAACTTAAAACTTTCTCTGAGAGGCTGCCTCTGGCCCCCCAAACTAAATTAGATCTACCTTCCTGCCTTATATATGATCTCGAGGCATACTGTGCTTTTCCTGAATGTCACTTATCATAATTGGGAATTATATAGTTATTTGCAAAATTATTTAATGTCTGCTTTCTGTGCCAGCCTGATACCATGTCTGTATTGGGCCAGGCCGGATCATCTCTGCAGAAAGTCAACTAATATTTGTTGAAGGAATTAAAGGCAGAATGAATCAATAATTATATAATAATAATAATATAATCATAAATCATGGAATAATAAATTTGTTCTTCCTTCAATGTATAAACAGTATAGGTTTTTATTTTTTCTATTTTTTTTAAAGATTTTATTTATTTATTTGAGAGAGAGAATGAGAGATAGAGAGCACGAGAGGGAAGAGGGTCAGAGAGAGAAGCAGACTCCCTGCTCAGCAGGGAGCCCGATGCGGGACTCGATCCCGGGACTCCAGGATCATGGCCTGAGCCAAAGGCAGTCGCTTAACCAACTGAGCCACCCAGGCGCCCGTAAACAGTATAGGTTTTTAAAGGCCTCTGCAAGAAGATGGAACTTACTCACTGCCAGAATATAACCAGCAAGTACACTAAAGCAAATAACTAAATGGCAAGATCCACAGCCGATGCTCCAGCCAAGAAGAGACTGGTAGCTTTTAGTGACTTCTCGCCCATCTCCACTAGCCATTCCCCTCAAGACCATCCCCAATCAACACAGGATCCAAGGAAAACGCATGTTTGCTATGCAAATGTACCTATAATGTACTGAGGGCATTTACCGAGGTCTGACTTTGTATTAGGCACTGTCTTGAGTGCTTTTCCTGTATTAATTTTTTTTTCCCCTGTGGCACAGGTTCTATTGTTATTCCCATTTTACAGCTAAGGAAACTGAGAACAGAGTAGTTATTTTAAAACATGTTCTCTGACTTCCTCTTCTAACCAGATTGCCATTCCTGTAAACTAAGCTAGGAAAAACATTTATTCTGTCTGTGGCCCCACGGAAGAGTAGGAAGATCAATGTAGAAAACTCTCAAACTGCCCTAATGGAGAGAGGGTTTTGGTCAGTTCTAACAAGTCTGAAAATAAAGAAATCCACATGGAGATCAGAGAGATTTGAGAGATGAAGCCTTGTTTAGGACCCCCAGAGTTCGGTATCTAAAAAAGCCAGTAAAAACATTGTGTTGACTTTATTTCTGTAGTCATTCCAACCCCACTCTTCATCATATTTAACCCCATATACACATGTTCAAATGATCCCTGCCAAGAATTTGACCCCAGATAGGAATACAATTTATACACAAAGATAAAACCATAGTGGTCTTCTTCCTAACGGGAGCTAATGGTTGAAGGAAAGAAAATGAGGCAGTGCAGAATTTCTTAGTGGAAGAGCATGCGCTTCAAATGGTCTTGAGTTGGAAGGTAAGCTCTTCCCTCATCTGTGTCACCCTCACAAATTAGTAACATCTGTGGGCCTCAGTTGCCCAGTTTCCTTATTTGAAAATGTTAATAGCATTCACTTAGCAGGACGTGGAGATATTGAAGTGCTATATTTAAAAAGCTCAGCAAGTACATGGAAAACAGAAGATTCTCAAAGATGGTCACTTTAAAAAGGGAAAAAAGATAAAGATCGAGGAGGGGGTAGCTTTGATGCTCAGAATAAAAGAAGAGTCATAGGAAATGTCTTTAATAAATATAGATCATGCATTCTTTTTCTTCCCTGTGGTGGGGGGGGCGGAGGGTAGGGAAAGGAGGGGAGGGAGAGAGAGGGTGGTGGGGGGGAGAGAGGAAGGGAGGAGGGAGAGGGGAGAGGGAGAGAAAATATGAGAGGAAAGCTTGGGTAAAAGTGTCCTTTAGCATTTGCCTTGCTCTTAGCTGGCTGAACTTGCCTGCAGCTACCACTTACAATGCAAATTGAGCTTAGAGTCCTTCACACTAACTACACAGCAAAAACCTTTCAGCTTTAAATAGAATACTGCAGTGTGGAATGATCTGAGCAAAGCAAAGCAAAGAAAAATTCAGAGATAAATGTGAAGGAGAATTTGGAGAGAAACAAAACAAAACAAAACAAAACCCTTGACATATCTGGCCAGGTAGGAAAATGCTGAAATATCAAGGAAGACAAAAAGCACAGCAAAGTCTGTAGAAGGACCGAGAAACTAAGGTCAGATTTAAGAGAAAGTGGATTTAAGTTAATAAAGGAGGAGGGTACTTTTGAGGCAAGCCCTCAACAAAGAGGATTTTAACAAATAATATTTTGATCTGGTGACATTTCAAGATGTACTTGGCACTTCCAAGGTATTCATCAGAAGAGAGAGGATGGACCCTTGTCCCTGTGGCCAGCACCACTGCATGAATGTTCCCTAAAATGAACAGATTAAGACCATAGAGAACTTCCTGCTTTACTCAACTTCTGCTATTTACACTGTCCAAGTTGCATTTTTTCCCCCTTCTTCCCAGACTTTCAGTAAGATCAGGTAAAGAAACCTGAAGGCATACTGAGAAATAAAGGTTTTGTTTAGTTTTCAGTGTGGTGTGTGTGTATGAGAGACAGAACGTTCTGAGAGGTTGACTTAGAAAGATTTGAGAGAGCTGCCTGCTATAAACTCATGCCTCCTTTTTGACGACACGAACCCAGTTATTTTAATCAGAATCAGAGTTTACAAAAATGGCATAAAATAGGACCAAAGATCAGGGTAGTACCTGGGGCCCAGAAAGCACTAAGGAATTCCATTTTTAACTCATTTCTTCATTCTAGAGGTGATACTCCCATACACATGGCCCCAATCTGCCCATCCTCCCAGCTCAGTAGGTTTCCTGTGCCTGCACTTGGAGCATAATGCAATCTAGAAGAAAACATGAAGGCAGCCCTCTTTGTTGTCACAAACAGAAAGAAGTATCACCCAGAAAGACCAATAGACCCAAGGCCAACTTCTCTCCTGGATAACATGCTCAGACACAGAGCTAGTCATAATCTACCTGGTAACTGATTCAGTGACAAAGCACTTGAGACTGAGAAAGAACATCTTATAACCACCCTGTCATCCTGTAAATGAAAAGACTCGGCAAGTATGGTGCCTGTATGGGGGAGGGACAGGCTGAACATCTCTTAAAAGCCATCTCTAAGCTCCTGAACACCAGAGCTCATACAAGTCAGCTTCATCTGTCTAGCACCCACGGACATATCAGGCTGGATGCTCTCCAATAATGATGATGAATGAAGAATATATTTTCAATAGCACTGGACATTCTTTATTACCTAAAACTTACTGGGATGTTTATAGAAGATGCCACCTTTGCCCCCAAATTGTATCTTTTTATTTCTTTCAGAGTTTGAACTCTTTTACTACCCCAACACCATCACATTTTTCTATGATTCTTGATTTGATTAAATATTATAGAAATTTTAGTATCCAAGAATAAGAAGAATTGTCTTAAATTAACATACCGTGCAATGTTTTCCTAAAGCACTTTCACACACATTTTCTCACGTGGATATTACAACGTGGTAATGCAACACTTTATATGAGTGGTTAAGGATAAGGGCCTACAGGTAGAAAATGAAAGCAAAAACGCAAAAGTTTTGGCATTTGAAAAAAAAAATGCCTTTACTCTCTATTCACACACAAAAGGCAGAATGAGTTTCCACCTGCTGACTTTCCCTGCCTGCCTGCTAACGTCAGAAAAAGCTGAGAGAGAGCGCGCTACGACAATTTCACCTCTTGGCAAAGCTCAGCTTACTGAACCCTCTTGCTTTCTGCTGGCTGTTGATTCAGCAGAAACTACTGCTGCAGAATTCATAATGGTGATTTTAAAGGCCCCACTGATCGCACTGCTCGCCCCACGTGTTAGACTCGTTCGCTTGCTGCTGGAACGCCGTCTCCCCAGCTACCTTTTTATTTCTTGCTAATGCACTTCCAAGGGGAAAGGGGCTCGCCCTTTTGCAAAGGGCCTTTTGGGGTTCTGATTGTCTGAGGAGGTAACCTGGCCGGAGAGATAGTCGGGCAGGAAATGAAACCATGTCTTCCCTGCAGCCACTGAGAGACACAACATCATTCCGCTGGAGGGGAGAAGGGGGGAAGGACCTCCGATCCGACTGGGCCCCTTTCTTATCTCCCCCTCCAAGACCCCGACAAACATCTTGGGGGATGGGTCATCTGCCTTCACGGGGTCATTTTTCCAGTCGGGAGCCCCACCCTGCAAAGCCTGATCCCCGAGGGCCATTTTAACCCCCGTGGGCGCCGGGTCCACCTGCTGCTGAACGCCGGGCTCGCCTCGCCGAGCGCGGATGGATGTGGGGCGCACCGGCCGCTGACCCCGCGGGCCGAGCCCCCGCCCCAGCCCCGGGCCGGGAGGAGTCTCCGCCACTCGGCGCCCGGCGGCCAGCCGAGCCCAGCGATCCGCAACTTGCGCCCGGCCCCAGCGGCGGAATGCGGCGGGGCTGGCGTTACCTTCGGTCGCATAGCTGTGGTCGCGCAGGAAACTGTTGTTGATTTTGCGGGTATCAATGTCCTCCTCCATTGACAGCAGGCTTACTTGCGTGGGAACCAGAAGCCGGCAGACAAGTATCCATGATCCCTCCCCGCAGCCAGTCTCACAGGAGAGGGGGGCAGGGGAGCCGGTGGGACTGCACCATGGTCCGAGCCTGAGGAGGAGACGGGGAGGCGGAGAGAAAAAAAAAATAAAAACCCGGCAATGGAGCTGTCACCTCCTCCACTCGGGATCTCCGAGGCTGCGGCGGCTCCTCCCGCGGTGCGCTCACTCCAGCTCCAATTCCCAGCGAGGATGCTGCGCCCGGCTCCGCGGCCGCCGGGTGCCAAGATGCGCCGTGCCCCGAGGGGTCCGGGCCCGCCCGCCGCCCGGGAGGCGCTCACAAGCGGGGCTGGGGAGATGCCCAACAGGTTCCCCACGTTGGCCGCCGCTCCAAAATGCAAAAAAGGTCCCTCCTCCCCCTGGGAGAGCGGGCGGCCGCGACAAAATGGTGCCTTTCTGGACCCGGGCTGCAGTGGCGAGATGGCAGGGGCCGGATTCGGGCTGGGCCGGCCCGGAGCAGGGTGCTGGTCCCACGGGAGGGCGGCTCCGGCTGGCGGGGGCGAGGAAGGCGGCGGGGAGCTGGGCAGGGCGCTGCGGCCGGCGTCAGCGCACTCACCCTCACACCCACACGCGCGCACTCGCAGCTGCGCTGCTGCAGGAGGAGGCTGGAGGCGGCTGGTGCATTAAAGGCGAGGCTCCTCCCAGCCGCGTCAGCAGCCCCAGGACTAGTCCCCAGCAGCGCCGGTGGCCGAGGCAGAGGCTGCGGCTGCTCTCTGCTGCAGTGGGGCGCACGCAGCAGCGAACCGGCACCGGGGCAGCAAGCAGCGAGCCGGCAGGTTCACGCGAAAACCAGAGACGCGCTCTGGCAACCGCCCTCCAACCGTGCCACGCGGCTAAGGGCGGCGTTTACTCGAGACCCCAGAGTCCCTAGCTCGCTGCCTTGCTCCGGACACCTGCGCTTCAGGACCGCAAACAGAAGTAGGTCCCCTGGGGGAGGCCGGGAGACAACAGTCAGGTCCCTTCCGCTCACCCTTGTGTGAGGTATGCGGTCCCTTGATTAAGTTCAACGGCGAGGCCTGGGGTTCGAAGCCTCAGAGAGGAGAGAATGGGAAGAAGGGCTGCCGTAGCTTAACTGAAGCCTCCTGTGCCAGGAATAGAACGGGGAGCGGGGGCCAGAACTTTTCTGCGACCCCCTACGACTTCTCCATTCCAGACGCAGTCAACATCCCCTTCCTACTGTAGGCGTCTATGTCTACGCAGGCAGAGGGATGCAAAAGGGCTGAGTTATGAAACCAGTCCACAAAGTCAATCTGAAAAAGTCCACCTTCCCTAGCCCTGTGCACTTTGTTTTGGACCAAGTGCTGCAGGCCCTCCCGTAGGTCTTGCTTGTGAAGACACAACACTGCAGGAACCGCTTGCATTTGCTCCCAGCATGGAAGGGACATGGGAGTCTCTGCTACCCTGAGGAGTTTTCAAAGATCCAATTAGTACAAAAAAAGAGACCTGCCTCCCTACTTAACCTAGGAGGAAAATGCAGAATTCCCCCCACCACCACGTTTCCCCATATTGCAAATTCGGTATTTGAAAGAAAACTTGATCGCTACTGTTATGAAACCAATAAAACCATTTATGAAGCTACCCAACTCCCTAAAAAGCCAAATTGGAAAAGACATTTCCCCATTTTCCTCTTGTAGAAGGTATTCATTTCAGTGGGTGTCACTGCAGGGAGAGACATCAGCAGACGTCTTGCTCAGTTAAGCTCCACAGGTTGAGCTAGATGAGCCCAGAGGGACCTGGGAGTTAATTATATACATACAATGCTTCGGCTAACACGATTTAGAAAGTACTCGAAGTTAAAAAAAAAAATGGGAAAACAAGTTTTTAACAGGTTGGGAATTGCAATCAGATTTCCACAAAGAGTGGATGCTTCCGGCAGATGGAAAATGGAATTATCCCCCATCTCCAGAAAGCGAGAGGGAGAAGAGAGTAGAAATAGTCTTTGATATAATTTTTAAGGGAAGTTCAGGTTATAACAGATTCCATTTGATTGTCATTTGGTGGTTAAGTCTTAACATAACTTGTTTGACTATTTGTTCAAATTTCACCAATGAGATTCCAGTGACTAAAGTAATCTACTCGGCATCAGTTCACGGCTGGTTCTTCCACATGATGAGCTGTATCCATCACCAAGTCTCCAGTGGTCAGCTCATCTGTAGTTACACAGTTCAGCTTCCCTTGCTGTTAAGCATAATGGGGAAGGGGCGGGCCGAGGGGAAAAAAGCTAAGTTCCTCTCCAAGTGGTAAGAAGACATTTTGCTTTCCGTTGAAATGACCTTAACTTGTGACAGGAGACCTTGGAATAGTATTTGGAAATCCTCCCTTTATCTTCCTGGAATGTGGGCTAGATTGGCACAGAGCTGTATGATGAAGTTGGTAGGCCCAGGCTCATGGGCCAGGCTGTGCTTGAGGAATTTTCCACTGTAACCAATGGGAGAAAGGTCCCCTCCATAGATTAAGTTTCTTGGATTTACTAAATTTTCCCTTTCACGTTTCCTGCAGCAGCCCTCCTGCATTTATTCAATGGTACAGGCAACACAGATACATCATGGGTAAAGAGATTGCAAAGTTTCAACTTTGTGGACCACTCTTTTCTACTGTGAGCAATGGGGAACTAGGCCTTGCACCACAACCAGGAAAAATAAGGCTGTTGGCTTTGTGCTTGAACACAGTGACGTGTAGGAAAGGAGGTCAAGGGGTTGAAAGAACCCTGTGCAATCCTGTAGTGGTAAGAGGACCATATAGACCATTTCTCAGAAGACCTGCCGACCTTCTTTCTATGCCTCAACACATCAAGTTCTTTCCAAAAGCATTTGAAATGTGCACATGTCAACCTATGCTCTTTCCTCATGTTCTTGGCATTCTTCAGCATCTCAGCTCAACTGTCCCAACTTCCCTGAGGCATTACCTGATCATACCACAGTCTCTTCCTCTAGAATTTTCTGTGTCTATATCTTTTTTTTTTTTTTTTTGGTCTTCTTCATGGCTCACTGCATTTTGTAATAGTTGTTTCCATATCATTATCAACCATTCCTACTCTATCTCTGATATTAAATGTCTGGCACTTAGTAGGTGCTCAATTACCTTTGCTGGATAGAGGTATGTATTTCTTCAATGAATGAATAAATTACTGGATTTCTTCAGTACAACAAATATTTGTAATATTTAGGTTTAGGAGCTCAATCCTTATTAAAATTCTTGCAAAAAAGGGCGCCTGGGTGGCTCAGTTGGTTAAGCAACTGCCTTCGGCTCTGGTCATGATCCTGCAGTCCCAGGATCAAGTCCCGCATCAGGCTCCCTGCTCAGCAGGCAGTCTGCTTCTCCCTCTGACCCTCCCCTCTCTCATGTGCTCTCTCTCTCTCTCATTCTCTCTCTCAAATAAATAAATAAAAATCTTTAAAAAAAAATTCTTGCAAAAACAAACAAACCACACCCAACAATAAAACCTGTTGTGAGCCAGTAATTTTCTAGTTTCTAAGCTTTATTACAGTTGAAATAATTGTGCTACCCATTCCTGTATGCATATGTACCAAGAATATTTACTGAGCGCTTAAGATGTGCCAAGAATTGTTCTGGGCGCTGGGGATACAGTTAAAACAGAGTCCCTTTAGTCACAGAACTGAAATTCTATCACCTGATTTTGATAAAATGAACTTTCTTAGAAATTCAACAAATGCATTATAAATCGACAGACTATAGCATAATGCTAAATGCTAAGGTTCTGATATCAAGCACAGCTGATTTTCTGACACTTATTACTGTGTCCTTGAGTAAGTTACAAGGTTCCCCTAAGACATTTTTTAAACCTCTAAATTAGGGGGAAGAATAGTATCTACTTCATGGAGTTATTGTGTGGATTTAATGAGATAATGTATTGAATAATCCCAGAGAGAAGATACTGCTATTACTTGTTGAATATTTATTATCATCACCACTCTCAATAATGAACAAATATTAAAGCACCTACTAAGTCAGCCCCTGGGACAGGAGTGGAGATGCACATCTGTGCATAAAAAGAATAGTTTCCGCTGTCATGGAACTTAGTGTCTAATTTACAGTTTATGTAAAAGGAGTCATAAGCTATAAAAGGGGCAGCAGAAGCCACTTTGAAAGGCTGACCTAATCCAGGCTTATACTTTACACAAAAAAGGCCAATTACAAATACACAGGCTTCTTAAGTTACACAATTCAGAATGATGGGACGTAGACACATTCTTTATCACCCCTGTCACGGCCCCCTCACCCCAGTTAGGTTAGTGCTGCTTACACTGGAACTTTTCAGGTCATCCTTCCAATTAACACATTAAATATCTACAATTTTATTAAAACCTTTGACCTAAGCCAGTCTGGAGATTCTTAATATAGGCTTAGGCGTCAGACGGTCCTGGTTTGTCCCAACTCAGGCATTTAAGAATTTCATGACCTTTGGGAAGCAATTTAACATCTCTGGGCCTCTGTATTTGCAAAATAGAAGAAAATAATAGAAACTACTTGAGAGTGTTGCTGAGTGGCTTCAGAGCAGCCTAACTGTTTTGCGCTAAAATGTCAGTTCTCCCTCCTAGCCATGGCTCATGTACATCTCCACCAGTAGAGAAAGGGAGAGATGCACTACAAGTGGATCATTTATGTGAACAAAAGTGACTTAGAAATCAGAGTTTTACTACCTACTGATCTGTCCTAATGGCAAACTAGAAACTGGATACACGAAATTTTACCATCCTGCAAAAAGCCCTTTAGAAGCCATCAAGTCCTGTGGAATTATGATGACCCTCTCTACGAGCAGACCTAATCACATTTCTCTATTGTGGAATCCTCTGAAATCCCTCTCTAAGATCACTAAGCACTGAAGGCACAACTGTCTCTCTGAGGTGGTTTATGTGTTGACTGCTCAGTGGGTAAGCTCTTGAGTTTCCAGCAAGTTTCACCATTCCTTTTTGTGCATGCTACTAGAACATGTCATACACGGCATGAGTGAACTTTTAAAATGGAATTTAACCTGGGAAAAGAAAACAAAACATCTTGCTCTTAAAATGTTGTATTAAATCCAGATTCTGC